GTGTCTTGCATGTAGCCCTCTGGGTTTGTCCCGAACCACAAAGAGCTCGGACTTTGGCTGAGAACATAAAAGTCCCGCCTCCCCTGCCAACTCTTCGACAATATTAACTGCCTGTTGCAGTGTTTCTTCCAGATGCGCGTCACTACCTCTGGTTACCCATAGAGTAATATCATCTGCATAAAATGTGTGTTTGAGTCCCGGTATCTCCTCCAGCCTCGGCGGTATTTTAATTAATACGATGTTAAACAGGAACGGTGACAAAACTGAACCCTGCGGCGTCCCTTTGCCTCCCAACGCGAATGAGTCCGATTTGATATCTCCTATTGAAATTTCTGCGGTTCGGCCCTCCAAGAATGATCTGATGTAGCGAAATGTCCTGACCCCTGGGCCAATTTCCGTTAGGTTATTCAATATTGCCTCATGCGAAACATTGTCGAAAGCTTTATTCAGGTCAAGCCCCAATACAGCTTTGGTGCCCGTGCCATGCCCGGGATTGACTACATCATGTTTTAACTGTATCATGACATCCTGTGTGGACAAATTGGCCCTGAAACCTATCATAGTTGGGGGAAAGATGGCCTTGTCCTCTGCATAATTCTGAAGCCTGTTGAGAACCACGTGCTCCATCAATTTGCCCACGCATGATGTCAGCGATATGGGGCGCAGGTTTTCCAAGCAGAGTTTCTTGCCTGGCTTCGGAATAAATATAATCCTAGCATGCTTCCATTGTGCTGGGATCTCCCCGGCCACCCAATACTCATTTATCAAGTCAGTGATCGCCCCGACCGATTTGAAATCTAGGTTTCTCAGCATTTTATTAGTAACTCCATCCGGACCTGCGGCAGACGTAGTACGCAGCTGCCCCATGGCAAACTCCACCTCCGCAATTGTGAACTCTTCATCTAGGTCGGAGTTTTCCACCCCCGAGTAGTGTGGTAAGCAACCGTCTACTCCATCAGTTATGTACCGATTCCGGAGTTCCTGTATAAACTCCCCAATTGTGCCTTTATATTGATGCATTAACCGAGTCATTTGCCCCCGTTGCGCCGATTTTGTTGCTGCCGGATCCAAAAGATGCCTTAACAGCTGCCATGTCTTTTTGCATCCAAACTGTCCATTCATGCGATCACAAATCTGGCCCCACTGCTTGGCTTGCAACTCAATTGCATAATTTTCGATTTTACGTTCTAACTTGGCAGTCCTTCTGCGAAGGACGCCATTATGTTTTTGCTTCTTCCACCTTCTCAAGAGACTCGCGTGCGCTTCCCACATGTGTAATAGTCTCGAGTCAGCGGTAAACTCCTCCTGCTCGACTGGCACTTCTACCGTGGTATTACTTACATCCTCCTTGAGCGCCTGTACCCATGCATCCAGGTCATTAATTTTCCCGTTTACAGTGTCTGCTCTGTTTTCCTAAATCTGTCCCAATCTGTAATTCTATGCCCCCTCACTTTGTCTTTATGCTTTCCAGCGCTAAACGTCGTGGAAAGGATATAGTGATCACTTCCTAGCGCTTGCCCCGTGTTAATCCACTTTGCATTACTGATGCCTCTAAAAAACGTAAGGTCTGGGGAGGTATCCATGCTTATGCTGTTGCCTATCCTCGTATGATCTTGTGGATTGTTTAACAGCGTCCATCGCAGATCCCGGGCAACTTGCCAAAGCCGATTGCCCTTTGGGCTGGCTCGAATATAACCCCACTCCGGGTGAGGTGCATTGAAATCTCCTACCACTATAAGCGGAGCGCGAGCTGCTAACCGTTGAGTTTGAATCAGGAGTTGTGGCAAGCCCAATCCTTTATCTTTTGGAGAACTATACACATTAAGTAAAAACAGACTCTTCTCATACTTTCGTTTAGGCAAAATCTCAAGCAAGACATAGTCTTCCCTGCTGCTATCTACGGAATGCTGAATGGCAGTGATGTTGCGATGGACTAGCACGGCTGTGAAGACGCGTGATACGCCCCTTGAATCAGTTCCTGGCGCTGTAAATGCCTTAAATCCAGGTAATTTTACTGAACCACTAGCCTCCTGTAAGGCTATTATGTCTGGTTTACTGTCCAGATTTTGTACGTGCAACTGCAGGTTACCCCGCTTTTGACGAAAGCCCCTGCAGTTCCACTGCCAAACCTCAATTTGCTGGCGAGGCGCCATGATGAGGCACCAGGTTGACTAATGGCACTTGGCCACCCACGGGAGGCAGTCTTGCCTCCAATAGAGTATGAAGCTGCTGAAACATGCCCATGACCTGGGTTTGGGAATCTTTAAATTCAGTGGAGAGCATGCCGAGACGCTCCTCTATTGTGTCTAATCTGGCTTCGATCTTTTCGACTCGAGCCTCCAACCTATCCTGTCTTTTCCCTTGTTTGCCTACTTTATCCGCAAGTGTTGTTACATCCGACTTAAGACTAATGACCTTAAAAACAGGCTGTGGCATGTCTACTGGTGACGTTTCGGCTAATCGTTTTGCGTTAGCTACCTCATCCCCCGGCAGTGGTCTCTTCACTGTCCCCCGATTCTCCACTTCCATAGCTGCACTCTCCTGTACGCGAGCAGACGCCTCTTGCGTCGCTTTCTGTAGGCCTTGCACTGCTGGTGCCTGTGTCCCCTGCCGTTGGTCGTTTCTAAGTGCGCGTTCCATCTCTGCAATTCTGTTTTCCATTCTTTTAATCAAGTCTCCCTGTCGCTGAACCAGCGCTGCTAACTCCCTCTCTCGAGCGGTTTCGTTCTGGGAGGCCGTGCCTGACAAGCTCACCTTTTTGTTGGTGTCGCGTGCGCAGCTGTTGGTACTGGATGCTCGTCCACCATCTTGGCCGCCCCCGCGCCCTGGCAATGGCGGGAAGGAACTCGACCGGTCCCTGCTTTTGCTTCTGCCTTCTTTACCCCTCGGTGACCGCTCAGTGGCCCTCGAGGAACGCTTATCGTTGCCAACTTCGCTATCTCTTTTGATGCTCTGCTGTCGGCCTGTCGGTGGCTTGCGAGCCAGGCGAAACTTGCAGTTACGGCTCCCTGTGTGATGCACACCATGGCACACGATGCAGACCGGCGTGCACGTAGGTGGCTCTCCTTCTGGCGGGGCAGGATGGTCCTTCCCGCAACGGTGACATAGGTTGCTCTTCGGACGATAGCAAACGTCCGCTCGATGTCCAACTCGTCTGCAGTTGTAGCAGGTGTCGACTAAATTTCTGTACGGGATCACAGCGTACAGACAGTTCCAGTAAGTAATCTGCCGGGGTATGTGTTTTCCCCCGAACGTAATCTGAATCGCCTTTGACTTTCCCAGAGGTCTCGCGTCCAGAATGTCTATGCCTTCATTCTTCTTCAGGAATCCCGCCCGAACTTCTTCCACTGGGCATCCATCATAAGCATTATAAATCACTCCCCGCACGGAGTTCTCCAACGGCGCCACGAACGCCGAAACCGGCAGGTCACGATCGCCCAGCTTGAGCGTCTTCACAGTCGCATATGCCCCACTGCGATTTATGCACGGTGTGCTCACCGTCAACGTGTTGTTTGTGCCATTAACCCGCACAATGTCTTCTTCCGCGGCAATCGCACTCGTTAGACGCGCTGCTGCTCTCAGTGCACATCCGAGTTCTCTCGCTGTCACAACACTCAAGTCCCAGTTCTGGGGCCTGTACACAATCTTGAAATCCGTGGCTGGCAACTTGAGAAACGGTCCGCGTTTCTTCCATACCGGCGCTTTCCCCCGCTTGACTTGCTGCGCTCCGTGCGTCTTGCGCCCGTCGCTACCGGCCTGCGTCTCGCAAGGCTTACTCTTGGCGTTGTCGCCATGCCGAGTCTTCTTAAATCGGTCCTGTGCCTTCAGCACTGGAGCCCACTCTCCCGCTTCAAAATCTTCGGGTGTTATAGTCTCCCCTTCGACGTAGTATTCCATCTTCAGCCCAACAAGATCCACGGTCACCGGGCGCAAGTCAGACGCCGGGCGACGCGGCCCAGGCCAGGCTTGGCCTAGGAGATAGGCCTAGCCTTGCCACCACGGGGTTGATAGGAAAATCTCGGAAACTCCAAAAACGGGGACAAACTTGCCTAAACGAGTGGTGTCCGTAGGTACAGGGCAACCTCCTGCAGACGAGCCCACTGACAGCAAGTCCAGAAAAAAGCGCGTCCGCCGATAGTCGGTCACCGGGCCGGAGCTCATGCGAAACACGTCCGCACAGCGTCTCACTCCAGCCGCCTCCGAAAGTTGTTTGAGATCTTCATCTGTGCACCGCTGTTTTGGAGGCTATGGAAAGTGTTGAGTTGTTGCACCGTCCGCCACAAATGACGCTAGCGACCGAGAACATTTTCAAGATAAAAGAGGGAAATGGTGTGGCAGCTGTTTTTTTTTTTCTCATGTGGCAGGCATCTTCCTAGAGGAGTCTGGTTGGTTCAGCAAGGAGGAGTAAAAGAAAATTGCTAGAGTAGAAGCTCCCGCAAAGCCTTGCCAGCAGACGTGAAGCCACCTTTTGCCACTGCCAAGATGGCGGAAACATGCTCTTTTCCACGGTTTTTCCTTCCTCCGTGCTCTTTTCTGATAATGCCCACTTAGAGATCAAGTGGCTTTGATATGTTACGTAAATGCTACGTTAATTATATATTTAAAGATAGTTGTTCCCAACGAAATAACACACGGAAACAAGTAGGATGACTAAACCTTCAAAGAACTTTGCCTCCAATGAGAGGCTCACTAAAGAAAACTAGTAACTGTAAGACGCACTTCGAGCACTATATGACCCGAAAAAGTTCCTACAATGAACTCTTTGGGCGTGCGAGAGAAACGCTTCGTTTTTAATCGCTGAGTGGTGATACTTTGTTATGCCTCTAGTAAGATGACCGCTACAGCCGCCATCTTGCCAGAGGAGCGGCTTCACTTCTTTGAAATTATTTTCACTCAAGCATTTTTTTTTTAATCCTTGTTGGGGTTCAGCCACATCAATCTATTCATCTATCTATCCGTCCGGCAGCTTCACGAATAAGACGTTATTGCCTTTCCTATATAATTCCTTCCTCCACTACAGATGCCACAGTACATGGTGCGTGCACCATGTGCTGCCACTAGCGGATGACCGATGATAAGTGGTGTGTTTTGAGCCGGCGTGGTGTGTTGTTTCATTTAGTCGTGCTTAATTGTAAATAAATTAGTGCCGTGATCAGAAGTGATCGTGTTGGAGTTGGTGGCCGTTTGCACGTACTCTCTGCGTCGTCATCAAGGCCTTGGGTAAGCTCACTGACCTCGTCACGGCAGTCGGAGCGGGTGCTGCTGCGAAAGTTGCACGGTAGTAGAAGGAAACCGCGCTGCATACAGATCGTGCTCAGCCTGCGTGATCGGTGTTGACTCTAGAATGCTGACGGCTGTTGCGACTTACTCGCCGGGTAATCTGTAATTTGTGGTCTCTGATGCGACTTTCGGTACAGATGGGATTCGTGCTGCGCAGCAGTCGTTGAACGCTCTCCTCGCCGTGATCTCAAATACATGCGTTTTGATAGGAAAGGCACTTTAGTAAATTCGGGCGGAGCCTCCCTAGTCATGCGGTTCGATACAGCGGGGTAACGTAAGAAGCCGGTATTTCTTGTACACTACTGAGTGATATCGTGACCGATTCCTCTGGCAGTAGATATCATTGAATATCGAATTCGCCAATTTTCCTCCGTTTACGAATTTATTGCATCCTTTTAAATACCTTTACGAATTCACCCATTCGTACATGTATGCATACAACAGGGCTGAAGCACGCATCGATGGTGGAGCTGTTTCTAGATAAGGTCTGGCCCCGCAGCAGAATGAATAACAGCTGATTTTTTTCGCTGCACTCTCATGTGTCTTATTGCCATTGAAGGAGGCAGATAAAACAGAGTGATGAATGACCTTATGTGTGCTTTGAAATCTGGCTGACACGTTGATTTCATGATATCCAAAGGGGACAATGAAAGGGTGCCGCAAAAGTGAAGGAGATGCGAAAAACATGGTGGCCATTTTGGTGTTATAGAATGTCGAGTGATCACCCATAATATCACCCGTGATAAAATGTATCATTGCTCTGCAATGTACACCATTGTTGCTTGTGACATTGCGGCGCGCTATCACTATATACACTCCATTTGCACAGTGTATAAGATCTACGTGATCTGTCTTTCTGGTTACTGGTATTTGGGTGTTCCTAACGCTATTCTTGTATCGTGTTTCAGGGCATTTTGCTGCCACAAGTTGAGAAGCTCCAACACAAGTCGAGCCACCATGAAGGCAGTCGTGTTGCTCTTACTGCTTGGGCTGCTGACAGGAGCTACTGCAGCTCATGTTACGGAAGAGGACAATGAGTTTGCAGAGTTTGAGGAATTCGACGAGGAGGAGGTGCCGCCGACACCTCAGCGGTCTGATGCTCCCCAGCCAGCGGCAGCAGATGACGAGGAAGAAGCTCAAGTTGAGGTATGTCACTTGCCTTGGCCATAGCCTAGAATATATATATATATATATTATTAGGGCGTTTATTAGCTGGCACACAGCGAGCATACACAATGGCGACAGTAATGGCCAAGCACGGACTCCCCGCGCGAGTGGCGTCCTTTTTGGGTAGACCCACTTAAAAGCACCTGAGAGTTTGACTCATTTCATTGTTCGTAAGCTTCTGTACCTTTACCCTGGGGTCGAAGAGGGAGCTGCCTGGCGACCTAACAGCTTGTCACTATGAGCGGGTCATAGTAAGCTTTCAGGAGCTTCACGTTGACAATGTCGCACCTGCAACGGCGTATGTCCGAAGATTGTTCAATTGGTTCGATCAGATAGTTGACCGGAGATGTGCGCTCGATGACACGGCAGGGGCCTTCGTATTTCAGGAGCAGTTTGGAAGAAAGGCCAGCTACAGAGGTCGGGATTGAGAGCCATACGAGGGAACCAGGAAGGAACGTGGGCTCAGAAGTGGCGGAGCCATCGCGAATACAATTCTGCCGCTCTTGCTCATGCATCGTAAAAGTCTTGGCAAGCTCCCGACACTCCTCAGCAACCCTTGCTGTCTCAGAAATAGGTGCACACTCAGATGGATCCGGCGTGTACGGGAGGATCGTGTCGATGGCGTGTGACGGGTGCCTTCAGTACAGCAAGAAGAAAGGTGAAAAACCGGTTGTGCTTTAAGGGGTGGTGTTGTAGGCGTAGGTAAGGAAGGGCAGTATAGTATCCCAATTCGTGTGGTTGGCGGTGACGTACATTAAAACCATGTCGCCGAGGGTGCGGTTAAAGCGTTCGGTGACACCATTCGTCTGCGGGTGGTAAGCAGTAATTTTTCGGCGGACAGAATGGCACTCCGTGAGAATGGCTTCGATGACTTCTGACAAGAAGACACGGCCTCGATCGCTGAGAAGCTCCTGGGGTGGACCGTGGCGCAGTATGAATCGATGCAGTAGGAAGGACGCAACATCAAGCGCAGTAGCCGCAGGGAGAGCGGCGGTTTTGGCGTATCGCGTTAAATGATTTACGGTGACGATTGCCCAGCATTTACTAGCCGATGTCAGAGGAAGCGGTCCATACAATTCGATACCTATGCGCCCAAACGGACGGTCAAAGCAAGGTAACGGTTGCAGACTGGCTGGCGACAAGTGTGCTGACGGTTTGCGGCGTTGGCAAGCGAGGCAGGAGCGAACGAACGAACTGCTGCACGTAGTGGTACATCCCGCACCAGAAGTAGCATTGTCGATTGCGATGGTAGGTTTTGGATACCCTAGAGTGTGCGCATTGCGGATCAGAATGGAAGGATTCACATATCTCCGACCGCAGATTGCGGGGTATCACGAGTAACCGCTGTCAGCCATCGCCGTCGTAATTGCGTCTGTGTAGGAGGCTGTCGCGAATGGTGAAATGGTGAGCTCGACGACGCAAGGCACGCATGGGTGGCGTTGCGCAAGGCACGCATGGTTGGCGTTGATCAGAGAGCAAGTCGATCAGCAGGGCGATACAATTATCCTTTTTCTGTTCGAGAACGATGATGTCAACATCAATGGCAGAAACAGCAACCGATGATACTGAGCAGGGCATGTCGTCGTCAGGCGAAGGGAGGGCGAGAGGGCGTAGTTGAGGTACAGCACGCGGATGTCGTAGTTTTGTAAGCGAAGAGCCCGAGGGGCGAGACAGCCTGAGGGATCCTTCAATAATGACAGCCAGCATAGTGCATGATGGTCCGTGACGACATCGGATGGGTGACCATAAACATAAGGTGGAACCTTTGTAAGGGCCTAGACGATCGCCAGGCACTCTTTTTCCATGACGGTGTAGTTTGTCTCGGCTCTCGTGAGTGTACGACTTGCATATACCACGACACATTCAGGGAATCCGGATTTGCGCTGCGCCAGGACTGCGCCGAGGCCTACACCGCTGGTGCCTGTTTGCACCTCTGTTGGGGCCGTAGTGGCGTAGAATAGGAGGAGATGTCAACAAACAACCGAGCTTTGCGAACGCGTCGTCACACTCGGACGATCACGAATGGAGAAGCCCGTTACTTCTAAGGAGCTTCGTCAGCGGGGATATGATCGTGGCAAAGTTTCGTATTAAGCGTCGAAAGTATGAGCACAGGCCCACGAAACTAGGCAGTTCTTTGACGGACGCAGGTTTGGGGAATTCGGCCACGGCCTAAAGCTCGTCTGGGTCAGGAAGAATGCCATCCTTGGACACGAAGTACCCTAGAATAGTGAGTTGCCGTGCTGCAAAGCGGCACTTCTCCAGATTTAGTTGCAAGCCGGCATTGCTCACACGTGCTAAGACATTTTCAGACGTTGGAGATGCGTGCAGAAATCTGGAGCGAAGACAGCAATATCATCGAGGTAACAAGCACGTGTGCCATTTCAAGTTGTGCAGAATTGTGTCCATCATGCGCTAAAAGGTCGCAGGTGCATTACATAGACCAAACGGCATGACGTTGAATTCGTATAAGGTGTTGGGTGTGATGAAGACAGTCTTCGATCGAGCGTCATCAGCCATGGGTACTTGCCAGTAACCCGAGCGCAGATCGAGAGAAGAAAAAAGTTCGGCTCCGTGAAGGCTGTCAATCGCATCATCGATGCGCGGCAGTGGGTAAACATCCCTGTGAGTGATCTTATTGAGCTGTCTGTAGTCCACACAGAACCGCACAGAACCATCTTTCTTCGCAACAAGAACAACAGGAGACGCCCATGGACTGTCCGAGGGCCGAATAACATCGCGTCGAAGCATATCGTCAACCTGCTCGTTAATTTTCCCGATGTTCAGCAGGCGACACGCGGTATATACAATGCCGTAATGATGGATGGGCACCAGTGTCGATACGATGTGTAACAGTGGACGCGCGACCGAGAGAACTTCACCCGACATCGAAAGAACGATATTCTTGCAACAGGTCCAGAAGCTGGGAGCGCAGTACCGATGTAAGGTTGTCATCAATGTAGGGCCCAAATACATTAGGAGATGATGGATCAGAAGCAAAAAGCACTGATGGTATGCGAATTGGGACAACGCGAGTTATCGGGTACGTCCAGGACTTGTGTGTCGTCGACTGATTTCACTCTGCCAAGACATTCCCCTCGAACCAAGGTAATAGTGTACGGGGATGGGTTGGCCACAAAAACAGCGGCGCTGCCCTGGGTTATTTGCACGGTCGCGAAAGGTACAAGCAACCCTTTCCTTCTGCAAGCACGGTTGGATGGCAAAACGAGTGTAATTGTGTCGGAGAGACCGGAACAGTAGACCGATACACTTACGGTCGAGCTTGGAGGCACTACGATATCGTTTTTCACGAGAATCTTGCTCAGTGTCGAGGGGCTGTTTTCTGGCGTAAAATGCGAGAAGGGTGAGAGTTCAATTTTGGCGGCTGCACAATTGATGATGGCGTCGTTGCGGGAGAGAAAATCCCATCCCAGGATGACGTCATGAGAGCATGCAGGAATGAAGATGAATTGGGCGACATACAGAACATCCTGAATGCCAACGCGAGCTGTGCACCCTGCTGTAGGATGAATATGATGCGAACTAGTGGTACGAAGGGACAACCCAGAAATTGGTGTTGTCACTTTTCGAAGCAAGTGGCAGAGGTATAACAGGTATAAGAACGGTATATATATATATATAAGCTTTCATGAATATTTCAAAATTGTAATTAGTTTTATGGTAAGTTGCATAGTTTTAGTTTTATGCCATGATGGACAAACTTTTTATGATGCCCCTAAAAAGTTATGATTATCAAGCAATAATGGCTCATATTTCTCTACAATAAGTGATGGATATAAATACCAAGAAAGTGCATATAAGATATTTCACATGTAATTTGGAATTGTAATGTGGGAATGCTTGGAATTCTCAGCCTATACTTATTGTTTCCTTATATTTTCAATAATTATACAGGTGATATCAAGTTTAAAGGAGATATACCTTCACATGTGAAGGAATATAGGGTCAAAATTTCTTCCCGATTTGACTGTCAAAAATACCAAAAGCATGATGTCTATCCCAAAAATGGATCTTGAGAATGCATTTTAAAGGTATAGGTGAGAGTACATCTATGCGGAAAAGATGTGTTTTACAAGATGGTTTCTTCCATCATGAGAGCTTGGCAATCATTGTTATTTTCAGCATGTGACTTTAGTGAACTGCTCATAGGGAATGCAAAGGCAAGCAGCCAGGTGACAATTTGCAGAGGGCTCTAGACAATAAGCTCCTTTTAGTTTTAGTAGCCACCTTGTGCTCTTTAAATGCGATTTTGACCTACTTCAACTTTATTTGCAATCTTCGTTTTTTTTTCTCATGAAAGTAGAGAAGCTATACTTATCAAAAAATAAAAAGGAATAATATATAATTTCAGAAAAGCTGTGGTTTGTGACTTGCGCCTTTCCTTAGGTGTGGTCTCAAACCAACAGCAGTGTCACACTGGCACATTTAATCGCGATCAACTTTATGGCCGTTGCTTCATGGACCAAGCTATTCTGGTTCGAGCTTGGGTCAGATGAAGTGCACATGATGGCTCTAGCATGCCCTAGAACATGTCCCTGATGACAAAAAATGTTCAACATTTACGTGTCACTGACAAAAATCGGCACATCCAATTTCTTTAGAGCCGTTTATCAGCAATAATATTCATGCAAGAATCAGATGAACGTCAGAAACTTAGCTTGCCACTACAAAAGTAACTTCATAAATCCATCATTCGATAGCTTTCCTTGCACCTACCTGCATTGCTGTCTGTGTGAGATTATTAATCCTCACTTAACCATTCGCAGCCGTCCAGTCGCAGCAAAGCAGCAACCTTATTGCAATGAGTCAACTAGAGGAGACTCTGGTGATGCGATCGTTCACTGACCAGTGAAATGGTGGGAAGTACACAAACTGGCCTAGTCTTTGTGCTCGTGGTATTCGAACGCTCTTGTGGCCTTGTATATTTCTTGGTTTTGTTTTAAATAAAAGAATGGACTATT